GTTAGAAACGGGAATTTTATTTCCAAATATGAAGGCTTTAAAATATACAAATTATCTTAAGTTCATATTAATTGACATCATACCTTCAAAAGGTGGTGATGCTTAATTTACTTTAGACTATTTATGATCTATACCATGTCTCTAGTAAGCCTCTTCTCTGTAGCCAATTAGATCAAAATAAACAAGACTTTTCAGAATGTATCCTGTAACTGTCTCTGGGACACTCAGCATCTGTGAATGTTCTCAGGAGGCTTTCTCTTTTATTTCTTTGTCCTCAGTGGTCCGCGTCCCACCTACATCCACATCTTACCCATACACCCATTTGCCTATGAGAACATATTATTGGCCACTACATCAACTTAAATTTGAGAAAAATAGTAAGATCATGGCTCAGAGGATTCCAAGATGAATCTTGCTTGGAGCTCCTTTGTATCAAGAAGCTTAAATTTTGTCTCCAGGGCTTTTCTTCCATGACCTTTAGCTCCTAATTCTTTGCTGTGTACGTTGGCATCATTTCCTACAGGGAGTTTGTCATATGCATCTTGGAAGATGACTAACAAAGCTGCAGTACCCAGGATCTCTGGTTAAGTCCCAGTAGAGTCTCTCTCTCTCTCTCTCTCTCTCTCTCTCTCTCTCTCTCTCTCTCTCTCTGTGCTTCCCTCCCCCCTTTTTCCTCTCTCCATCTTCTCCTCCCTCCCTTACTTCCCTCCCCACTGCCCCTCTACAGCTTGGTTGTACCTCGGTCCCAACAGACCTCCCCTGTCTACCCTTTCCACTATTGGGTTTCCAGATTCAATTTCCAAAGCTCTGTTCCTCACACCACACCAGGGGGCACCATTCACATTGAAGTCTAAGTCCATGGAGGTGTTCTGCATCAGAAGACAAGCTCTGTGGTGGCTCTGCTCCTAAGGATAGGACAATGTAATTGCATAGTCCTGTATCACACAGTACCCAGGCATCCAGGAAAGTTGGATCTGTTTCCAGAAAAATCAAATGAATACAAAGCATTTATGGAGCTGTAATAAACCTGAAATCCATCTCCATGTGTCATCCCAAGATGAGAAGAAATGAAAATTCCTCTTGAGTCATCCTTACACTTTCCAGGATATGGAAATGGAAATGGAGGTCCAGGAAAAAGGAAGCACAGTATGTTTAGACCTTCAAAAGCATTATCTGTGAGGCATTGTCCTAGAGTTGAGGCCAAGGGTCTCCTCTTTGTTAAGGAACAAAACGCAGAGAGAGAGAGAGAGAGAGAGAGAGAGAGAGAGAGAGAGAGAGAGAGA